CCTAGATGGGCCCTCAAGAGGTTAATGTAGGCTTTGGGCGGGGGCCTGTCACCGCTCATTATTGAGAGCCTCAGTCGATTGGAAAAGGGGCAGGTAATCTGGGTGGTCGTCGTCTTCATGTCTTCATGCACATCGGGAAGCCCGACAGGGAGTATATGTAGTTACGTTCGGCTCGTGTGAGTTGGAACAGGTAGGGAGAGTAAGGTTGGTAGTGACGGTGAACTTGGTACCATCGGTTTGATCGCTTAGAATCTCACGAAAGAATGCAAATTGTAGAGGGAAACAACTTGAGAGTACACAGGAAAGATGAACACAAACAGCCACTCTGTCAGTCGGAGAGGCTTTTCTTCATTGAATTGCATAGCGTCCCTTTCTCCCTTTCTGACCCAGGTACCTACACACAAACCCAGGCACCAGAACCATAGGAAAGATATCACATCCACAACACTATGTTAATACGATTCCAAAGCACGCTCACATGCCAAACACATTGCAAGCCACATAACAGTTCATTTTAATTCAAGCCATCGCTCTCGTAACACAAATCGTCGAGAGACCAAAGTTGAAAAACATGTAAGAACATTCCCGTACGCATATGTAAAACCCTAAGAAAACAATCAAACCCTTCATTGCTCACACACCTCCTGTCGTGTTTGCTTGTGCTGTCATCAAGAAATGCAAAAGAATCACCAAGATGTTCCAACCATAGCGTAAAGTAATCTTACTTTCCAACAAGACATAGAAGCGTGCGTGATAGAAGCGTGTTTTATGAACATGAAATGAGCAGAAACCCGTTTGAACTGAACCCATAAGAAAAGAAAATGATAGCAAGAGATTCGAATAAGACAGCAATATAGGAATTGAACTCAGAAAACATCCTACTTAGATGCAGATTAAAAGCTGTATGTAATCGAGAAGCACTATATCTTCAATCCTACAATGTCTTCTTAATTAATTAGACTGAATCCTTTAGAGGACCATGAAGGCCCCAAGCCCGGTATACAACAGGGAAACAATCCCTCCAAAGAATGGCAAAGCTCCAACCTTTGCGTCGACCTTTGTCCCAACCGAGCCAGATTCAGTTGCAACAGGTGCAGTGGTTGTGACTACCTTGGTAGTAGTATTGCTGAAAGTTTGAGTGGCAGTTTCATCCGATGAAATTTTGGCAGTGCTGGAAACCAGAGTTGTACTAGTAGTTGCGCCGCCTGGAGGTCCAGTAGTCTTAGAGACTTTAGCAGACGAGGACTCAGATACATTAGGACCTCCTCTGAGCTCCTTAGGTATGAAATTAAAGACTTCTCCATCACTACGCGTATAGGTAAACTTGGTGAGGTTAATGATGCCGTCGTTGTCGAAGACGCCGCCGTTCTCACTCAACAGGAAGGACGTGCGACTATAAAAATGTTAGTTCAATCTTTTAGCTACAGCAGCCCGAACTGACTTAGCATTGTAACAATAGATCTTATCGTCAAATTGTGTAAAGCGACTAGTCATACAGGGCCAATCCGGAGGACCTATTCCCTTGATGTTAGACCTCCGCTTCACAATCAGGTTGGGGAACATTAGTCTGGTTAGAGAAACTTACAGCAAATGCCAGGAAGGAACATGTTCCTCGGATCATCGTCCGGCAAGTAGTAAATCGGATCCAAGGTTGGGTACACCTTCTGAGAGTCCGGATGGGCCTCTTTCCAAGCCTGCTCCTTCTCGAAAAGGTCATACAAAATGTCCCCCAAATTGCCTGTCCACATTGAAAGCTTCTGACTCCACTCTTCATAATCAGGGTCTTTGTTGTCAGGCTCAGGATTGAGGAACTGGAGTTCGACAAATTGGCGTCTAGGGTCGTTTTCGTCCCAAGTGTCATAATAAGCACGAATTTCGTCTTCAATGAAGCCGATAGAGGTATCTGTATTGCACATTGTCAAGCGAGGAAAATCGCATTTTTGGTGAAGACCCCATTGGGGAGGCTCAGGAAGGTCTGTCGTAGGAGTCGGGACGCAAGTTTTCTCTGCCGCACAAACTTCGTCCATAATCTTGCCACTGAGAGCCAAAGCAGCCAGGGACAGAGTAAGGAGTGAAGTTTGTTGGATACGACTGATGACTGGAAACATTTTAGAAGTAAGAGAACGACAGATTTTGCTAAGATTTTGATTGAAGAGACTGTGTCGGGTACGGAAAGATGCGTCAATGGTTGTAGTGATGAAGGACGGTGTAGGATATTTATACAACCTCGAAGGCCATGCCAAGTCTAACTCCAAGACCGACTCCTTCGATAGGAGTCCTCGGCATTCTATTTATCATATCTATATGATAGGCCGGAGAGCAAGATAGATAAAGTAGGACTTCCTCGAGCGTAGTAATCCTCAGGTCACCAGACTTATATACAAGTAAGTATCTAGCAGCCAAGTACCCTCGCTTAAGGACAAGGAAACCTCGTCTCAATTCCCTCCACGAGGGTCAGGGCACGATATGCAACCAGACTACTCGATAATCTACTCTGCATTGTCCATCTGTGGCAGCAATGCCAACAAGCGTGCTAGTCGATGGCCACCCCAAACTACAAACTTGCAATATTATTGTTCCAGAAGTCCACTTCAACTGCCAAAAGGCAAAGGGTCCGCTGCTGACACCCTCTCGGAACAAGGCAGGGCGTACCATTCCGTATACAGTACCCGTTGACCGGTGCATATACCTACTATCTCAAAGCACCTACCCAGCTGTGTCCCATGCAGACAGTTTTCGTCAGACACTCGCTCTGTCAAAAATGGAGGATGCAAGAATGGAATGCAATTTTTTCCCGTAGGATCGCATGCATTCAGCTCCGGTAAGTCGCAGGCCGATGAGTATGGAACTCTAATTGATGGTTTGTCACCGCTCATATTTGTCTGTGCACGGTCCGCGACCATGCTCAAGGTGTAGGACGCAAAGCTTGCAGATACCCATCCGGCAAATATGACGCGCAAGATCCACCACCACGGTTAACGCAATCTCCAGGCATCTGCCCCAGTTTTGTGGTTAGCCAATATGTAGCTGGAACATTCAATCTACGCGCAGGTACAGACATGAAATATGCATTAGTTGTATGGTTACAGGATCAGCTGATGTGGCTTTGTGCTCAGGTGGATTATCAAGATGCACATAACGATAGGAGTTATATAGGGACCGGGTATCTTTCACGCAAAACTCCATACATCGCGACTAAATAGTATTGAAGTTCGCACGTTACATGCTCATGCCGGAAAAGTTCCAGAATGACAGAACTCGATTCTGTACAATGTGAGCGTGGTGGCTTGAAACGAAGCTATAGGGAACCAGAATACTTACTCCAAAGTACCTTGTGGGAGTTGTGATACGCCCAAATTGGAAGGAGGTCGCCCAAAAGATAGCTGCTAGGACATTATGCACTCTGGGTCTCGTACTTCATCGAACCCTTCAGCCTGGCCTTCCCTCTCCCTCTTCTCCGAACTCTACCTTCTCACGCATTCATCGGAAAACTAAATAAGTTCTGCTGTTTCTACAAGGGCTATTTTACTTCAGAGTTACTTCACTGTCACTTCACAGCTTGATGTACATGGCTGTCAAACGTCTTGGTCTCATCTCCCCGGGCCCCTTCCTACTCCTTCTTACCATAATCCTTCTTCTCTATACCTCTGTAGATGCTATACGTCTACCACCGTTCGATGAGCTTAACCCATCCACGGGTATTAGCAAGCCACTCCTCACCGAGAGACAGGAATCGACCGAGCATCTGCCTACAGATCATGAGAGCACTGATCATGAGCCTGTTATCGTTGCAAAGAAGAAGAAGCCACAAGTTATCCGACTTGGTATCAAGCACGAAGAACATGGCACCAGTTATCTCCCGTTACCTGCCCAACAGCCCACTACATGCCAACGCTCTCGCCGCGGACAGCAACAAATGCCAGAAGACTACTATTCCCAAAGACTAGGAACCAGGGAACAATCTGAAGACCGAGACGACCATCCCAACCCCCTTCATGACATTCTTTCACAAGGACCATACGACCAGAGCACTGTTGACCCTGTCGATGGCAGCCCTGACCAGCCTCCCCGAGAGCCTCACTGCTCTACGACCACCGTCGCCCAGAAGAGCATCCATTTGGCTCGTCGAGGACTAGAACTGATGAAGAGGAATTGCTTTCTTCCTGATCCAGCGGGGAACAAATGTTACATAAACAAGTGTCACTGCGTCACTTACGATACCGACGTTGGGTCTGAATTTGGCCCAAGTACTGGGGAGTGTTGGTGTCCTATGATAGAAGTCGGACGCTCACGCTCCAAGAGAGAAATTTCTTCGGAAACCGAGAAGGAGAGTTACCAAAAATATAGAAATTCAGAGTTACACAAACGAGGCTTAAGAGGACGAGCTCAGCTCAGCAGTGATCACCTATTTGTCAATCAACTACCGCACAATATGGAGCAAGGTCCCGGGTACCCCAAGATTTACAAGCGAGAGCCAGAGCCACTTCCGGCAGGGAAGAAGAAAAACAAGGGGAAGGGGAATAGTAAGCAGTTAGCAAAGTGCAAAGGCGGGAAGTGCAATAAGGGCACTAAGAAGCAGCAGACAGAAGGAAAGAAGGGCAAGAGTCGTATCAATAGGCGGAACGCATACATGTATCGTGAGCAGCATCGCGATTTCGAGTTAGAGTTGTAAAAGATGAAGGGTATGGCTTTTGGTATAGCTACATACCAGTCCGCCGAGCTCGGGATATAGCATTGCTCGTGTCCCTTTTTCTTCCACTTTATCTATTTGTAATGGGCTGAGATGAAATGAATTGCTAAGCGTGTTGCTTGTTTTCGTTAGCTTGTGGGAGGGAAAAGTTTGTTTTCTTGGGTTAAGTCAAATATTCATGTCTGTTACTCGCCTAAATAACGAGATTTTAACAGGGCTGTATGCGCTTTTTAAGACGGATGAAACTTCTTGACACAAATTGCTTGACAGATATCTATTTCACACTTTGTTGCCGAAGAAGTACAGAAGCTCCGTCGTGGTGTAGTGGCTAGCATTTGAGACTCTCAATTGGATTCCCTCCTGTGAACTCTCAGAACCCGGGTTCAATTCCCGGCGACGGAATTATTCTTTTTCCCTTTTTTCCTAATTTTTTGTAGCTCGCATTACGCTTCCTTTTGGATAGATTTCCTATTGAAAAGATGCGCCAGACTAGAAAAGATGAGAATAGTGCAACCAGAGTAAGGAGATAGTGTCCCCATCACAAACTATCAACCTGACTAGGTCCACCTATACTTAGGTACCGTCGCCTGTTAATGAACGAGCAAGATAATACTCTCGGGGATCATCAGGAATATTCATGTGCTCCCCAACAAGTCACTTTCCCTGGTACACCGAACTTCAGGGTAACTCAAAAGACCAGGGAAGGCCGCTTGCGGTCAAGCGCTACCCTTTAATACTTGCGGAGGAATATCCGTACTCCTACGAACTACGAATTTTTGGAAAGATAAATCAGAAACTGCGATTACATGTTTTCTCGCTTATTGCTGGACTTCCTGTCCCATGACGAATAAAACTTAGTCTGGTTAATGAAACTTAAAAAGCACAGTCACTATAGCTACTTAATAGTGTGCCGTTTTGTCTCTTGAGAAACGTTTACGAATTTACATCAGACGAAGGTGGTTTCTTTCACAAATTTTCAGCTATAAGAACCGCTTCAAGACCCCAGCACCACCAATGCAACCCGCCCACTCTCTCACGTTATTCGAAACTCTCAGGCTCAGAGATGAATGCCGATGTTCGCGCCGAGGTCTATGGGAATCCAACAGCACAGGATTACCTTGTTATATCTACGCGCCACACACCGAGCCCCCGTAAGCGAAAACCGCCAGCAGTGGTCAATACGATTATGCGGATCCTGCAGGACATCGACTTTGCGGACCAGTACCTGAGGGTCGTGGAGGAGATGGCGGCGGATTCGGTGGGGATGGGTGAGGGGATGGAGCAGATGGAGGAGCAGAAGTGGATGAGGCGGAAGAGGAGGATTGAGATGTTCCAGGAGGAGGTTTGGGAAACCTTTCTGGAAGGGAAGGTGGAGAATCCATTTAAGAGGAAACTGTACAAGGAGGGGGGGTCTTGTCACTGCCAGGGACTTGCGCCACCCAGACCGCCTAGTAACGTACCGGATCCGAGGATGATTGAAGGTGGTTATTCCAGTGCGCCGTTCTTCCCCGCTCGAAATGATGCTTCAGGGGAGGCAGGAGCATGCGCAGAGAGTGCTGCGGTCAGTAGTGGTTTGCAGCTCCAGCTTTGGTTAGGTCTAAAATCAAATCAGCCTTAATACCGGTGCTGATGTCCCCCCGGCGCAGATCTCTTCTCACTCCACTCTCTCAAACCCTCCAAACCAAAATCTCTCAGTGCATGGCATAGGCCCTGCCGGTGATGAGCTGCTGAATATGGACATACATATTACTGATAGCCAACCTGTCCAGAAGCTGGCTAACGATGAACCTTGCAATGGTTAGTGATCTTCTTATAGGGAGGTTTTAGTTTGCTCTTCATGAGACCCCTTCACGGCCCTAGGGCATCTTATCATAAGGTGAGTTACTGATCTAGTCATTGTTTTAGCACTCGATGAAGGTGCGCCCCTTCCTCTTCCTCATCTTCATCCTCTTGTCTCAGCTCAACGTCCAATTGCAAGTCCCAATTTATGCAGCCCATCAACCACAACAGGGGAGGAAGGGCCACTGCAACCAGGGCCCCAGGATGACCCTGAACGCCAGTTCTTTAAAACAGCAGCCTTCTGGGTTCGTGAGTTTTTTTTCTCGGTGAGAGATGAGGCACTTAGAAGTCAAAACTTTTCTCTGGGGCTTCCCTCCCCTACCCAGCCACCGCTACATGAACCGGAAGGGCCTAAGTTCCTTGTGGAAGAAAACGAAGTTCAGCAGCCACAAGCTGTGCTTTCTGGGAACATAACCCAACCATAGAGGGCCATGCTCTCTAAGAATCTGAACTTCAGAAAATTACCTCTGTATACATAATTTCGGAATGGAACCCCCCAACCCTGGCCTGTGAATTAAGTCAGCCTCAATTGCAAAGCCTCCCGTAGGGGTTTGAAGCACGGTATGTGCCTGTCTTTCAAAATCCAGCATTTCTTCGCAACCCTGATTTTCCTCCAAAGCGAAACTTACCCGAACATAACCGGAATTACCGAAAACCTACCTAGCATAATAATGTCGTTCATTGCTCGCTCAACGTACCCGTTGTTCAGCCTATCTCCTCAGCAAGGATGTTGGATGTTTACCCTCATAATGCACCTCAGTTATAGCCTCTCAACATTTATCCCCACAACCCTGTACAATATCCCAGTTTTAGCTTATGGGAAGAAATTCAAGAGCTAGGGAAAGTATTCCTTGCCTGTGAATATTCCATGTTTGATATTTTATATCTTGACCTAATGTGGAATATCTAAGATTGAAAGGTGGGATAAATGTTTTGTTAATTTTCGTCAGCCCTATAGCACTAGATGATGCGCAATCATCTTCGGAGGGTATCTTGCGGTCTTTCTTTTTTAGATCAATTGAGGGCTATGGTTCCCCACTCGCCGAAGTTGCGTGCGTTCCATGGGAAAATTCGATTTCTCTCCAACAAGTATGGGTGGCTATGCGCCACATGTTAGTGTAGATCTCACAACCATCAGTATAACTCGACTCTCCATACTCATCGCTCCAAGTTCATAGGTGATCTAAGTAGCCCCCGGGCAACTACAAGGACTTTTCTATGTGCATCCCTCATGGTTACTTCGAGGCCGAGCTCTGACGAATGCAGTGCGAGGCTTCGAAAACAGAGAGTCCCTGTTAGTATATATGCTAGTCTCCGTTCTCTAGGCCTAGGTCATGCGAGCAGCATGATGCTAGATTCTCAGCCTGCATGCATTCATAGCCAAGTTATAGCCTCACACCTATTTTGCTGCCCTTCTGCTTTATGAGCCTAGAACGGATAGACTTCCCGTACCTACTTCTGAGTATGTTGATGGTGATGAGACGTAATATAGAGGATACCTAGAATAAAGACCCCACATTAAAGACCCACACTCGCACCTTGCTAACAAAACCTGCCACCTCTCGCCCCGATTCATGTTAAGATCAGGAAGCGACATGCCTAGGAGATTGTAATCCGGTACAGCAAATATTATGGTCAGGATACACTAGTGTCTGGTATAGCTATTAAGCGTCGGTGAGCAAGGGATAAATCGTAAGAGTCAGTTCGTAACACTAGTCTGGCCGTAACAGCAAGTTTTCTAGTATAAGGCGTTCCGGTATAGCGTGCACTTATCTCCGCTTCCAGCTATGTAATAACTTGTCCCTGAACCTAACGGGAATGCTAATTAGCTCCTGTAAAAGTATGAAGCCACTGCGCATACTCACCGAAGGTTCAAACGTCTGTGGGTATGCGGACTTCAGAGGTAGTTAATCCGTCGACTGAGGGTGTCTCGCTGTGGAAGAGCAGGACGCAATCAGGCCAACAGGAAGCTTTACTTAGAGTTAAACACAGTTCTTAGGTAAGAAATTTTCGTCGTGCTGTGAAGTATGATTCTCATGAAGACACCGGCAACCATATGCTATCCCTCAATGCGAAAGTAAAACGTTGCCGCAAGAAAAAATTTTCTGGAAAAATTTAAACACATCTGTTCTTTTATGCAACACCCCAAACTTCCCGGCGGAGTCATACATGGTAGGGCTACAATCCCTCTTCTTAGCACGCATTCCGCCTCTCTGCCTCTCTAGCCACGGCCGGCCCAAGTACCCGGTTACCATTAACATTGATCTCATGTCACCGAGCCGGCCGCGGTGACAGTAATGGTGACAGTTATACTTTAAATCGGGGAGTCACAACTTAAAACCCCGGATTGCTATATCCCTGCTAATGGCTTTCTCGGGCCGTCAACCCCCGAAAACCCCGTACTGACGATGTTGAATGTAGAACCCTTTATACTCAGCAACTGGGAATAGACCTAGCGGACTCTACTATTATCGATGTCGGTAGGTAGCAGGATCCCGTCTATTATCACCAAATCCAGGATAGAATACCAAAACCATCACACTAAAAATAAAGAAAAAAAAAAACATAGATCAAAGAACAAGATGAAAGAGAAAATTGTCCTAAATCCCATATCCTATTCCGAAGCTACCACTTTTGTTCGCTTCATCATCCTGGTATCATCCATTACTTTCTGGTATATCCTAAACAGGGTTCTGATATCATTTTTAGGTGTAAGACACTTCGTCCGTGTCGACTGAACGTTGAATTTGGCAATGAAGCCTTCCACGCTTTTGTCTTCGAGGCGAAAGAACTCGGACCCACCTGTTACGCTGGCAGCGTACTGACTGCTCGCCTGCAGAGTCCGGCTTGAATATTCATTGGGACACCCTTTAATCAATGTTTTCCCTCTCCGTTATTTGAATTAACACCTTCGTGTTCAATAACATAATCATTTCCGAGACTTATTGAGGTAGGCTTTTGTGGTTTTACCTCATGCATTCATGTGACTTGTTTCAATATTGGAAATGGACAAATGCCCTTTTGTTTTTTCTTTTTTTTCCCCATAACATTATACATAGGGAGGTCGCATCCAAGTAAAAATGCCCTCCCAGAACAAAACATTGGTCTCACTCTCCCTCATGTAGAAGCAACTGCTTCAAGCTGTGCAACAAAAATATTGGCCTCAAACCCAGGCTCTTGGTTTGGCGGGTCGTTGTCATGTACAATAATTACCGCAGTAAAAGATATCAACAGACACGTAGCTTCTTTCTCGGATGAGGATCTTTTCTTCCATACTCTTCACTAAAATCCATTTTTCAAATTTTATGACAATACCATACCATACACATGAGCGCTGTCCAAATCTCCAGAGTAAATTTTGCGTGCTCAAATGCCCCTTTTTTGCCTTAATGATGTACACCCCCTTTGTGCCGCGAGTTAGAATAAACTCAAACCGTTCATGGGCATTAACTTCCTTTCCAATTCAGAGATTGTACAGTCGCACTGGGCAGGAGATGAACTGTTACAATACTGTTGCAATCAAAGAGAGACATTTTGCTTCGTCGTTCAAAGGCTCGTTAACC